GGGGGGGGTAGGCCACAGAGGGGAGAGGGCAGAGGCATGAGAGGGGTGCTCGGATGGCCTTTCCCGCCTGTCTGTGTGGGACACGGCACTGGCCTCTCCTGTCCTTGTTGTGGACCTTGAAGAAGCCCGCATTGTTGTCAAAGCTGGCCTGACCCCCCGGCCCTGTCCCCCACACCACTCAGGCCACTGACTGCATCAGGTGAGGCTTCCAACTTACTCAGGTCAAACCACTCACCGGGCAGCCTCAGGAGCCCCCGGGCACTGGCATTCCCTTCCTGACCCTGTGCAGCCACGGAGCACGGGGCTGTCAAGCAAAAGGTCAGTGGTTCGAGTCTACCAGGCACTCTGTGGGGAAAGGCTGCTTCTGCCAGATCCACCACCTTGGAAACCCTCCGGGGTGCCGCCGCCTCTGTTCTAGTGACTCAGATCTCACACGATGGCACATGGCACGGCCTCCAATCAACAGCATGCTCTCCAGGGGTGTCACGCACTCACTGCCACCTCAAAGTGACCCTACAGGACAGGGTGGAACTGCCCCCTGTGGGTTTCCGAGGCTGTAACTCTTGACTTGAGTAGAAAGCCCAGTCTGTCTCCCGCCGAGCAGCTGGCGGTGGTTTTGAACTGCTGACCTTGAGGTTAGCAGCCCAGTGCATAGCCACCATGACGCCAGGGCTCCTGAGGGACTTGCTAGGGGGTGCAGATGGTTCTGGCTGCTAACCGAAGAGCACCTGAGGAGGAAGGCCCATGATCTTCCCTATGGATTCTGGTTCCACTCAGACCCACCTGGGTTCCCCTTGGGTTGGGACCAAGCGGATGGCAGCTGGAGCTGCGTCTTCTACAATGGGGGCTCTCCCTAGGCAGGGGAGGGGGCTTTCCAACTGGACTGGGGGAAACCTCAGACTGAGACTGTTTCTGCTTTCCTGTATCCACAGTCCCACACCCACCCAAGCTTTGCTTTCTGGGGACCCTAGCTCAGGATAGTGGTGCAGAGTTGACGATCTGGGTCCAGCTGGAGCTGTCTAATGGCCTCAGTCCCCTGGGCGAGCGACCACTGCTGGCATGTGCTGGACTGCAGGGCTGTGCCCTGGGGAAAACTTGAGTTGGCTCAAGCGAATCCAAATCCTAGTCCCCCACTTCCACTCCCTTCTATCCTTTGCTCCACAATAAGGGGAGCCCTGAGGCCCACGATCTTGAGCCTCAGGGGCCAGCACAAAGCCATCCCTGTGAGCCCAAGCCTCCAGCCCCCAGTTCCCCACTCACCCGGCAGCCCCAGGCCCAGCAGGACGCTGTAATAGATGACAGGGATGACACCAGCCACACATGGTGACCTGTCAGGGACCTCTGGCCAGGGTCCTTCAAACTCCAGGCTTGGCCCACTGCCATTGGGCGTGGGCAGCATCATCATTTGTGGCTGGCCAGCTAGGAGGGGTGGAAAGGCAGGGTTAGAGAGCTTGGTCCGTCTCCATCCTGGCCTGGGACAACCCTGCCCTGACCCAGAATCCTGCTGTTCTCTCTGCTCAGTGCAGACCCCCAAGCAGACCCGGCCGAGTGGCAACACCAGGTCATGGACAGGTGTGCTGAGTCCCACCACCTCCCCTCACCATGGCTCTCTGGCTGCAGGGTCTCATGCTCTGGAGGGACCCCTTCTTGCCTGGAGGGGCTGCACATCAGGGACACTGGTGACATGCAGGTTCCTGGGCCTTCCGCCAAGCAGTCTGGCCAGACTGGCACCTGGGTTTGTACCAGAGGACTCTGACCCCCATGATGGCCCCGCTGTTGGACTCCACTCAACCAAGTAGAGCATTTCCGGGGTCCCCTACATACTAAGCCGGGGAGTACCCCTCTTTCACGGATGCACAGCCGCAGCCAGGTGGGTCCCTGGAGGAGTAAATGGCCAAAGGCTCGGCTCACAACCTGGTGGTGTGAGACCACCCGAGGAGCCTCAGAAGAAAGGTCTGGCGATCTGCTTCCCAAATCTCAGCCAGTGAAGTCTCCGGAGCACCCACAGCTCTCCACACACCCCCACCCCTACCCCTGAGGCCCCTGCAGATGGGGACTCGGGCAGCAGGGCAGGCCTGACTCGGCCCCACGGTTTGGACAGGGAGTCTCTTAATAGGTTCTACATTCTGACTAGAGGCTTCGGGCGATGAGAGGCCTGACGGTCCACTCCTGTACAGGGGACAGCCCAGGAGACTCTGGGGGACAGGTATGCCCTGTCGCATGGCGTAGCTGTGAGTGGGAAGGGGCCCCATGATGGCCCCCCATAGCACCAGCAGCCACAGCAACACTCCCCAGTTTCTGCTTCCCAATAAAGCCCCCTCCCCGGCAAACCCCTCCCACTTGCCACCACCCTCCACCATCAGCTACCTCACCCACATTCCCTGGACACCGTACCTGTCTCTCGGCCCTCCAGCCCCATGTTCTTGGGTCACTTGTGGCTTCTTCTGGGAGGCCCTGCACCTCCCTCCCAGCATCGCCAGGTGCCTGCACCCTAGCGGTTGTCACCCCAAGAGGTTCCCCACGCACTGAGCCTGCGTGCTGTGAGGGGTGAAGGTGGGGGCTGGTGGGGAGGAGGGAGAGGGAGGAAGGAAAGGGTGGGGCCCAGGCTGGAAAATCAGCCTATGGGAGATGAAGCCTGGGGCCGGAGGTGTGGGGGTGGGGCTTGGGGAAAGCAGATGGATCCAGAGCAGATGTCTGCTTCAGAGAGGAGCAACAAGGTGAAGGACACGATGGGGCTCTGGGTGGGCTGCCTCATGTGTAGGGCACTCTGGGGACTGGCCTGGGCTCGGTGGTGGCCACACCTGGGCACAAGGACATCTTGGGGGAGAGGAAATCTGGGATGAGAGCATCTGGGGTGAGGGCTAGGGGGTCGTGAGGGCCCCTGGGGTGTGGACACCTGGGAGCAAGGATGCCTAGGGCCAAGGGCTTGGCTGGGGCAGCCATGCTTGGGCCCAGGGCTTGGGGAAGGGCAGGGGCTGGGTGGGGGCGGTTGCGGACTGACTGAGGGCAGGGTGCGAGGCCTTACTGGAGGAGAGAGGGTTAGGGACACTCTCTGGAGGACTCAGATCTGGGCCAGGCTTGCTGGGTTTCATCCTGCTGGCCTGGGTGGAGGCACTGGGCAGTGGTGGTGGTGAACGGTGTGTGTATGGAGTGGGGTGGGTGGCGGGCTCTGGGAAAAGGCTGGTCAGGCGTGGGGCCCGGCAAGCTGTTGTTTTCCTGCTCAGGTGAAACGGACCGTCCTCAGGAATATTAGTCCCTGGCAAACAAACACCAGCCTGTGCAGGGACCTATGCTTTGCACCCCGCTCCCATCTCCCCTGGGTGGGGTAAGTGTGTGGCCAAGGCTGACGAGGGGGCAAAGATAAGACCTGGAATGGAGTCCAGGGGCCTCCCTCCCTCCTGAAACCCAGCGGTGAGATCTTCCTGGCTCCCTAACTTAGAGCCACAAGTGGGGCGGTGAGAAGTGGGGTGGGGGGGTGGGGGAGTGGTTCAATCCTGTGTCCCTATTCACACTCCCACCCTGGAGGGGTGTTCCCAGCTGAGGTCTTGCTGCCCCCCGGTGGCCATGCCCAGGCAGTGCTGGCTTTGGCCAATCCCTCCAGATGGGACTGAAGGACAGGATGCAGGTACTCCCTGCTCAGGACACTGCCCCTGGGGATGCCCAGGACCCCAGCCCCCAAAGCACAGGCATCACAGAGAGCCCCCATGCGGTCTCTTCTCTGAAATACGAGGCTTTTCCATTTTTCTTTCTCTATCACCATGGAGTGACCGCCAAGTCCACGTGAGCCCGTGTGTTTGCAGGGGAGAAATATCCAGAGGCTCACCTGGCCTGATTGCCAGGCCTTTCCTCCACACCAACCCTGGGTGTGCTCATACCGCCAACCTTGGCTTGGTCCCAAACTCCAAACTCACTGCCACGGAGTCGATTCTGACGTGCAGCGACCCAGATGGGGGAGTGAGCTAAGTACTGAGCTGCAAACGGAGCAACAGCAGTTTGAAGCCACCAGCCAGCTGCTCCCCAGGAGAGAAATGAGAATGTCTACATCTGTTATGATGTCAAGTCCTGGTCGTTCCATCCTGGCCTATGTGGTCACTCTGAGTGGCAACTGACTCAAGGGAATGTGGATTTATGTTAGTAAAAAAAACAACAAACCCAACTCACTCTCACCGGTCTATTCTGACTCAGGGATCCTGTAGGGCAAGGTAGATCTGCCCCTGTGGGTTTCTGAGTTGGTAGAGCCCAGGTGGCATAGCGATTACCTGTTGGGGTGCTAACTCTAAGGGCAGCAGTTCAAAACCAAGAGCTTCTCCAAGGGAGAAGGTGAGCTTTCTACTCCCACAGAGTTACAGTCTTGGAAACCCACAGGAGCAGTTCTATCTTGTCCTACAGGGTCGCTATGAGTCAGAATTGACTCAATGGCAGTGAGGTGTTATATATATATATTCACAGTATATATATATACAGTATACATACAGTGTGTATATATATATATATATCCTAGAAAGCCTCATCTTTCTCCCAAGAAGCAGATATATATATATATATCCTAGAAAGCCTCATCTTTCTCCCAAGAAGCAGTTGGTAGGTTCAAACTGCTGACCTTGTGGTTAGCAGCCCAATGTGTAACCCACTACACCACCAGGGCTCAGCAATTTCCAACTCTACAAAGGTGGCTGGGTGCTAGAGGAGGTGGCAGCTCTTAGAGATGGGATGTCAGGGCTGACCTTCTGGGGCCTTCTGTCTGGGGCCTCCTGGGGACCTGGGTCTGCCCAGCCCGCTTCTCACCTGCAGTACGATCCCTGGAGTCTGCCGAACTTAGCTTAGGGTGCACAGAACTATGAGAGAACAGTGGTAGTGGTGATGGTGGAGGTGATGGTGATGGTGGTGATGGTGATGGTGATGGTGATGGTGGTGGTGATGGTGG